AAGATGGCCACAGGAAGTACTTATATGAGATCTTTCTGATATCGTAATGATCTATTTCTCTTACATTTGAAGAACTGTACTAGTAAATATGTGAAATGGTGCATTTACTGTTTACATGACTTGATCAAACAGTTAAGAGAAAAATAGAGAAAAGATCAAAGTGACAGAACTAATGAAGATGTTACGATAATGGGTGCCAAGATCCCTCTGGGATCTCTTGTTTCACATTTTCTTTAATCTATACAAAGTTAATATTTGATTTGCTCTTTAAACAGAGCTGCCTGGTGAGTGAACTCTTACAACTTAATTAATATTTCAATTTTTAGGACTGGATTCACCTGTACAAGTTAATTAAATTACAATTTAAATTCTGGAAACCGTGACCCAGTGTCATGGAAGGCTTTAATTTAGTGATCATGATCAGGTGGTCAGATACCTTGACCACTTACAATTGGCCACCATGGCTCAAATCTGTCATAAATGCTGAATGGTTGTTGCCCGAGCCTCGATTACGATTTATGAATTTAGGAGTTTGATGAATCAATGTAAATTCCAAATTATGCTATAGATTAATTAGTAATAATTATGAGGAATGTCTGTCACTTAAAACTATTTATACAATGAAGACACTTGAAATCAAAATGTGGTGTGAAAATGAACTACAGGAAAAGTAAACAGGATTATCAAATTGTTTGATTCGGGTAGCTGGCATTCCTGCATTACAATATTTGATTCCAGTAGGGCCAGGCCCTTTGATTTGGTATTCATGTATATATGCTTCTAGAATGCTCGGTGAGCATATCGAGCACTGTGTGTGGCCTAGAACTAGAGATACGATCAGTGCTTATTATTTTGTTGGTGTCTCTTGTAAAGTACAAACCAGTCCGTGATTACCATAATAATGTTACATAAATTGACACGACATACGCTGTCAGCAAATTATCATAATTGTGAAAGGATATTGACTAGACTCGAAATTAGCTGCAATATATATCATATGTACATGTGATGTACAGGAACTTATATATTGATGCAATTCGTATGCCATACAACAATGCACATGTTAATAAGGTTCACTGAATTTCATCCAACAAAATATATATGTTTTTTTGACAAATTATGCTGATTTTACAGTTTTTGGTTTCAATTTTATGAAACAAGACTTCATGTTGCATGCTTCAATGTACATAGCATACACTGTACACATATATAGTGTGAGGTGTCGGGAACAAGATCAGGGAGATATGTTTCCTATAAGGTGTTCTAGCTTCAGAATTTAGCTGTCTCCGCCCGTTACAACATTTCTATTTAGCCTGGTCCTGATCACTGGCAGTGATTGCTGGGGGAATGAGCTGTGCATGCCTAGCTTTCAGGTATTGTATGTATTCTTAGCTCTAAAACTTGTACAACAAGCTACATGTACATGATCACTATTTAGAGTGCATCAAAATTTGGGGAATGGCTTTTTGCAAGGATAGATCTTATAAGAAAACCAGTATAGAATAGATTAATTGGCTTATTACCAGGATACAACTCAGTAACTTTAACATTCTTTAGTTTTAACATTCCTGTCATTCGTGTCATATGTTTACTTTTTCTGCAATTTCTTGACTTTTAAGTCTGTAATATGTACATGCAGTTTCATAACACATAATTTTATGTCACTTTTCATTGGACATTTTAGGAGTACTATGCTCCTAACCCAAATTTGAATTTGAAAATTGAAAGTTAATGTGTGTGTTAAACACTTCCATGGACCAGCAAGCTTTAACTAGGTAGTTCAGTTGCTTAGAGTGTCCATCTATTGTTCTAATCTTCTACTGCACTAACCTGCTGCATTTTTACAGTACTTTGGTTCCTGCATGGCCAACCTTTGTTTCAAGTACTGTTTGTGTTCTAAAGCAAGTAGATATTTGAAACTGAGGGTTGTAAATAATGTGTCTTTTAAGAAAAACCTAAGAAGAAGGAGAGAGCTGTGTTGTGAAACTGTAGATGACTGTGGTGACCTTGAGTTATATATGTGGCTGACTGTTCGAAGCCTGTTCGTTTATGTGAAGCAACTGGTTTGTCTGTTTTTAAATGTAGCAATTTTGGGTATAAATCTTTGCAGACCGGCCAATGTTTATGCAGGCATTGAAAGGCTTGGTCAAGGCTCACCTGTAAACAGCATCAGATTACTATACATGTAGGTTTCACCTTATTTTAATATAAACAAACAACTCTGGTCCAATCAGGCCATCAGTTTGGATTGCAATATACAAAAGCTGCCCTGGTTTGAGTGCATGTTATATATAGGTCACAGCAGCCCATGTTTTTGAGTTTTAAATCCATTATTGACTCTGCTTCTACTGTAGGATTATGTACAACATGTGTTTCAGTAGTTATACCTGTGTAGCAGATTTTAATTGTACATATCATAACGGTCGCCTTCGAGCTTTCGAAATCCCTTTAGCTCAGTGGCAGAGCATCCGACTAGGAACCTGGGGATCGCAGGTTTGATCCCAGCCAAAATACACTATTCACTTTCCTGTTACAAATGGTGTCTGTGGCCCCTCCCTGTGGTGACAGGGAGTTAGAACCTGGGTTGTTGTGGTGGTCGAGGGCGAACACATTTGAAAAGAGGTGGNTTTTCTTTCATGTTACACCTGCAAATAGATACAATTCAGGTAAATGTTGAATAACTACAGAATATATCATCAAATTCATGAATTTAATCATAAAGTGGTCGGCTGTTATCGGTAGGTAAGTCTAACCCTGTATTGCAGTACTAGTGCTCAGGGATTGCTGGAGGCCAATTGACATCTTTCTCAGCTTAAAATGTATAAACTAATTGCATCAAGAACATTTTCTGTTATGAACCACAATTAAACATAATTTGAAAACAAGAATGGTGGTCAGCTTGAGGATGAAGCAAAAGATGAGATGTAGCTAGCTCCCCCAGGTATTGTACGACCTGTCTCCTTGGCTTACAAGCCCGGAGGTCTGTAGCTTTCTGTAGCCTTAGTGCTTATATCTGCCAGTTGTTTCAGTGTGAGAAAACCAACCCAACAAATCAATACCCAGCCTCCTTGTGTCTGCCAATCAAACCCAAGTTCTACAACCTATCATCATTATTGATTGGGGTTTTAGGGGCTCCACATGGGGAACCCATATTAATATTTGCAGTGTTATTGTGAATTTCTTGAAATTGAGGCCTGGCAAAAGAGTTTAAACCTTGTATATGTAGTGGCCTTGTATGTTAAGTTATTGAGATGAAGTTCAGAATAATAAATTTTCCAAATGAAGAAAGTCAGAAATTGAGGAACTGTATCATTTATCTAAAATGTCATTCAGTTCCTGAAACATTTAGTGTCCAGAAATATTGGGTTTATGGATTATGAATATTCCAAATAATTATATGACACTGGAACCATAATTAAATATCAGAACATTCAAAATAAGTATCATATCAATGGAATGTAATTATGAACCAACACAATTATAAGGAACGCAGATGACACCTAGCCTAACTGAAACTTGTCAACACAATAAAAGGTGTATTCCACCATAACGGATCCTTGGTGTTGATGCTCCATCATTTACCCTATACCGTATGTAATGTACCTTTTGATTCTCTGGAATACATGTATATTTTAAACATGTTTTTTGTTACAAATGGGAGAAACAATATGCTGTGTTTTGAAGTCACCATTATTTTCAACAAGTTGTGATGTAGTTTGGTATGACTTACTGCCAGGTTAGGGGTTTAGGTTGTATCAGATGTATTCCTAACTCTGTTGATCGAGATGTCAGCATGAAATATTATAACATAGGACAATAATACAAACAAACAGGTAATCATACATGCCAGATATCGCGGTGTGAGGTAACATTTCACGGGTTTTCACCTCAGATAAAGTCTTATGTCACGTTATGGGACATGAATTTATGGAAAGTCCTCAAAACCTCTCATTTTTTAATGATCGATTGGTGAACCATTTTCCTGTTGTTGTTTATGAGTTTCATGAGATTCAATAGTGTTTTCAGCGATAAATTACGAGAGCTCTCGAGTAATACTGGTATGCACGTTAGACCAGCTGTCTGAGTGTTATACATGTGTATCTTTAGAAAACTGTTTTTGTATGTTATCTAAAAATTTCAACACAAAAGGAAATATAATATGCTTACAAAGCAACATTCCATGGAAATCAATGCTTTCTGTATGTATAACCTGATCACTTGGTTAGACTTTAACGTTTTGAGTAATTGATGTTCCATGTTATTATATAAATCATTGTACAGGACATATATCTATTGTTTTTCTTTCCATATCCAGTTACAAAAAAGACAGAGGCATATATTGAAACATATGTTGTTAGTGAATTTGAGTATGTAAATTAGTTTTAACAGACGACACACAGACAATTGTATTATGTATGTTATGGTGGCTGTAGAATATAACTCGGAAATTTATGTACGCTCAACAATAAAGTGGTATTTCATGGTCCAGTTGTTAGATAAAACATGTTTTATTAAAGTGACAGCTTGAGTAAATATAAAGGAAGTACATGCAATAAAACATTACTATAAAAATGTATGTGCACTGAAGTCGTTTTTAAAAAGTGTAACATCCGATATACTGAATAACCTGTTCACACATTTTATCTCTTTCTTATAAACTGGCCAGGGGTTCACTGTCTCATTGAAAAAATGCAAACTTCTCGACTCTTAAGTGTAGCATTAACATGCACTGCATGCATAATCCAGCTCAGTAGATAAATGACTTGATTTTGTTATGCAGAAATGTATCATTTGAATGTTTATTATTCTGTTGTAACCGTATAGGAAAATAAGTATGGAATAAAAAAAATAGCGTAGAAATATTCCCTCCTGGTGCCCCGTTAATATGAGGGCTGATACATCTGTGTGTAGCTATACTTGAGATGCTGAAGTCACCTACCTCACATCCTGTGTGTCGACTCCAACAAATTGTCACCAAGGTAATGTGTATGGATTATACTGCTTCAATCTGACACTTGCATATTACTCAGGTTTACGTGGTGATTGTACAAATTTTACAAGGTGACCAGGTAGCATTCGGCTATACGTAGTTTTACTGCGGTATTTAGTGACACGAAAGGTTTGTAAAACGTTTATATTCCTTCACATATGGGAATGTTGTGTGTAATGATATGTTATATTGCAGTCACATTGACTTTCATTGTTTCAGTTAAAATTTGCAGTTACAATTAAACACTAATTACAAATAACGCAATGCTATGGTGGGTCAAGCAGCATATCGTCCCACTGTGTTTTTTGTGTCAGTCAAGATGATTTTGATGTTTACATGGACAGAAATAATTAAATGTGACATAGATGCAGAGTACCGGGTATCTGGGTATTGTTGACATAGATGCAAAGTACTGGGTATCTGGGTATTGTTGACATAGATGCAGAGTACCGGGTATCAATCATCGTTAATCTTTGTTAATCAGATACGTCGGGTCCTTTGATTATTGGCGTCAATATAATGTCAAATGTCATTCTGATAAATATTCGGAGAGATTATTATATTCTGGGATAAAATCAAGTGATGTAGCAGATGGTAGTATTTGTTATTATAATCAAGGTATTGTACATTTCAGCAAAATGATCTATGATAAAGAATTGCTGCGACTAATTAGTAGGCTTTAGTTCAGACCTATACCTCATTATACATACAACCTGGGCCATTTCTGTTAATTATATAACTGATCAGGGAACAGGATTATTTTTTGCATTTGCATAGTACTAGTGTCCCCCCTAGGCCTACCCCACCCAATTATTGCATGCAGACTAAAATAAAGTGTAAAAAAGGAAAAGAATGAAAAAGGTTTTATCTCTCTCGTATATTATAGGGACAGGTAGATCGAGGGTGATTTGAGTGTAGGGGAGGGGGGATGGGGGGTGGGGTACATTCCCTTATAACAATACAAATGTTGTGGGGACGGATAGATCGAGGGTGGTTTGAATGGAAGGGGGAAGGGGGGGGGGGGACTTTCCCTTATAACAATACAATTATT